CAGCACAGGGAAATCATGGGAAGAATGCTGTTCTGGGATGGGGATTACAATCAACATCACAAAACAAAATGAATAGTTGTTGAATGGGAAACCAATTGGTTTTGTATGCTTCCATCCCAATCACAACCAAGTTAAAAAAGAAAAGGCGGATAAACCACTGAAGAAATGAGACCACTCAGGATAAATCCATGTATATAAAGGAGCTTGAGATCAGATGGCCCTTAGGTGAGGAATGGTGAAAACCGCTCACTACATGAAAGAAAATAAAACCAGAACCTACTTCATATCATATTCAAAAGGGGACTCGAGATGGATTGAAGACCCGAGAGTGAAAGGTAAAAACTAGAGTGAAAGGCATCTTTGTGATCCAGGGGTAAGAGAAGATTCTGAAAGGACAAATTATAAGCCAAAGACACCGGGAATTTTAAGCACATCAAAATGAAGATCAGGTATCCGTTTTTTGGAAGAGATAAGGAAAATGCAACAGATACACCCTACTGTGTCCTAAGCAGCAATTAGAAGCAAAGCATGAATGTACACAGACAGGTTAAAAAAAAATAGTGTTGAGTAATAAGTTCACACAGCAGAGGAAAAAACAAAGACTAAGCACTATGCCAGGTGTCGAAGTTAAAAACACACGCACTAAAAGCAACACTGCATATTTTAGAAAGATAAATGTTCAGACAAGATAGAGTAGCTGCTGACAGATATGTGAAATAGGGAGGATAAAAAATATATATATAGCCCGAGGGGCCTTGTGCTGACCTATGAAATACACCTACCTTGAACTGGAAAGTATGATTAACTCAAGTCTCTGCACTTTAGGTCATTTAAAAGCCAAAAGAAGGCCAGTGGCTTAATTTGGTAAAGTCTGAAATCATATATGTCACCTACTTGAACTCAGAAACTGCCACAGAGCTCTTTCAGGTAAGATTTGCCAAATGAAAAGCCTTTCCAAAGACAACTTTAAAGGAGTTCAAGACTCAAAACCACTCAAATTTGGGGTTCCTTTTTTCAGAAAACAAAAGCATACACTTTAAAAAGTGACAGAAGGGGAAGAAATACTGTCAAACATTTAAGAAATTTTTTCTCAAGTTTTTTTTAAATAAATGTACTGTTGAGGATTCCAATTTCTCCACATCCTTGCCACCAACGTGGTACTTTCCATTTTTCCACTTAGAGCCTGACTCTTTTTTTTTTTTTTTTTAAATTTTTAATTTTTTATTTTTTAAACATTTTATTAGGGGCTCATACAACTGTTATCCCAATCCATACACACATCAATTGTGTAAAGCGTATTTGTACATCATTTCTCAAAACATTTTCTCTCCATTTAAACCCCCGACATTAGGTCCTCATTTTTCCCCTCCCTCCCCGCTCCCCCCTCCCACATGAGCCCTTGATAGTTTATAAATGGGTATTTTGTCATATCTTGCCCTGTCCGACGTCTCCCTTCATCCACTTTTCGGTTGTCTGTCCCCCAGGGAGGAGGTCACACACAGTTCCATGTAATCGGTTCCCTCTTTCCTACCCACTCTCCCTCCACCCTCCCTGTTTTGCCACTCACACCACTGGTCCTATAGGGCTCATCCATCCTGGATTCCCTGTATTTTCAGTTCCTATCTGTACCAGTGTACCTCCTCTGGTCTAGCCAGTCTTGCAAGATAGAATTTGAGTCATGGTAGTGGGAGCGGGGAGGAAACCTTTAGGAACTAGAGGAAGGTTGTATTTCTCATCATTGTTACATCGCACCCTGACTGGCTCATCTCCTCCCCGTAGAGCCTGACTCTTGACGAGTGTGAGGCCACAAGTAAAGAGAGGGCTGTGAAATTATCTCACCACCCTATTCCCAGAGCCTAGCCGTTCCTCCCTCACAAAAGGTGTCTTACAAAAATTAACACCACCACCACCACCCACACACATAAACACAATCATATATTGTTGTTTCCTTTTGCTCTTCCTTGATAGAGACTTTCTGGGAGAAGTCAGGTCTCCTTATCTTAAAATATCATGGGTAGAACCTGCATCAAAAGCACCTGGAGTACCTCACCAGGACAATGAGGACACAGCCTAGGATCTCTTTATTTTACAAATATCCTAACTTGTTCATACTGGAATTTAAAAAACTGTATGAGAGTCAATTCCAAGAGATGCCCTGTCCCTGGAGCCTCCCACTACCTGCCTACTTCTCCTGTGCAAATTCTTGACTCTGAAGGTGTAACCTACCCTCACCCACTTCCCAAGCTCCAAGCCACGGTTCAAATCTCTTCTGAGCCTCCACAACCTAACAGCCACCGGACAGTGGCTGTTCCTCTGCTCCTGTGTTGGCTATCTGCTAATCTGGGTCACCCAAGCTGGAAACTTGGGCATCAGAAACAACTTCTTCCTTCTTCTTGGCCCTTTCTAACCAGGGCATCCAGTATCTTACCTCTCTTGTTCAACATAGAAGCCTTCCTCCCTCACAGAAGAGGCCTTATAAAAATACACCCATACACACACAACCATCTGTTACGGTTTCCTTTGCCCTTCATAGTGCCTCTCTGTCTCAATTCTCAGTCTACTCCTGCAAGACTAGGCTGCTTGGTAGGGGTGGAAGCGGACAACTCACCTTCGTTCATACTCCATGTCCTGATAGGGCCTGCGGGGACTGCCGGGGCCCCTTCTCAGCCGCTGGTTCCGTTTCACTTCCCAGCCACCCCCACTGCTGCCACCATGATCAGCCAGCCTGGGCGATGCCTCCTGCAGGGACTCTGGGGAGGAAAGAAAGGGGTCAAGGCAGTTGGCGCAGAGAGGACTTCCTTGGAAAACTTTACTTGTCCAGGGTCTCTGCTGTCCCTTAGCCAGATGTTGTTTCCCAACTCATGGTGCTCTTCTGGACCAAAGTGAGAACACAGCCCCTGCTTGGCTTCTCCTTCCTTTTTCTCCAGGCTAGAGGTCACTACCCTAAAAAAAGCAGAGAGCTCCTGGAGACTGAGAGGCACATGTATGCCTGGAGCTATCTGCCTAGGGGTTCTTTTGATGCGAAAGATCAGAGATTAAGGCAAGACTTCACACAATAGGAAGTTTAGGCACCCATCAAGTGCTACTTCATCCTTCCAATGAGAGGCTAGCAGACCCCCTCCAAAGTCTTAGGTGACCATGAAAGGCTCCTTAGGGGTGGTGGTGGTAAAGGGGCTAACTTGGCAAGGAGACAGCTGCTGCCTCCCTGGGCTGCTAGCCAGCTCAGCCCTCACACAACTGGCTCAGCCCCATGTCTTACAAAGCAGATCCCCAAGGCAGCTCTCTCCCAGGGGTTTGGAGTCCAGGTTTCCTCAGCAGCAAAAGCAGGGGGGAGGGATGACGTTCTGAACTACTATACAAATCTGTTAGGACGAAGAAGCAATCACCTCACCTAATCCTAATGGTTGCCTTGAAGACTAAGAGTCTCCCGAGGGCCATGTAACTCAGCCAGGGGTCAGGATGTACCCATATTCTTCAGGTTCTACCTTCTAAACAGGAATCTGGCAGCATCAGCACCTGCCAGCCTTCGCCCATGTGCATCCTCCAATGCACACACACACACACACACACACCAATCTCCCATTCCCCTTCAAGCCGCAGGGAACCAGAATCGCCTCTTTCCAGACAGGAAAGGATTAGAATCACAACCAGGAGCCCCACTGGCCCAGAGCCAGATACAAAAACCCCAACCCGTGCAAAAGTCACAGACTAGTAAGTAACTGCAGTAGATCGGGGCCAAAGTCAGTACAAGAGTCCCAAATTAATTACGAGTCAAGATCACAAGTAGGAATCCAAAAGGAATACGGCCAGAGTCACACTCTATATCCCCTTGCAACAGATGAGCGTCGAAGTCAGATACAAATGCCCAGGAATGGGATAACGAGCCTGCAACATTGCCTGCGCGCCCCGAACGCCCCTCGCCATTCAAGTGAGTTAGGGTCAGGCCAGAGAGAAAGCCTCAATGGAGAAGGACTAGAGTTCTAGAGTTACAGACACTCCAAGGATAAAGACCAGCGTCACGACCCAGACATTCCCCAGCGCGCGCGTGCGCCCCCTCCCCCACCGCGAGGAACACGGACCAGAGACACAGCCGCCTCGAACAGCTTAAGTATCAGATTCACTCGGGGCAGTCAGCTCACCCAACGGAGAAGAACCATAGCCACGGCCACTCATCCCCTACAAAGTCTGGCATCGCAGACACAGTAACCCACTTCCATTTGTCCCTCCCTTCCCCCAACCCGCGTGCAAATCAGCCCGGCTCCCAATAGCGCACGCGCCTCTGCTCTCAAAAGGGGAAAACAGGGGAGAGATACCCCCCTCCAGCCGCGCTCCGACGTGCATGTGTCCCCGGGTACGGTGGGAACTCCGGGGCGCCCCGACCCACAGTCCGCCCTCGTGCACTGCTAGGCCCCCACTTCACTTCCGCCCCCACGGACGCGTCGGAGGCTCACCTTCGCGGTCCGGGCTGTCAAGGGAGGCCTCCCAGACATCACCACGGCCCGCCGCCACCTCCTCTAACTCTCCCAGCTCAGCGGGAGCCGGTCCGCGCACTACGAAGTCGGGGGTTGGAGGCAGAAAGGGCGAGGGGGAGGGGGAGGGGAGAAGCGCCCAGCGCGCTACCCTCCCCAGGAAACTCACTGCCGCCCACTCCCAGCCGGCCGCAATCCCCAGCACAAAATGGCGACGAGGAGGGAGCCGGCGCTCTGACCACCATCCACCTACTAGGGGGAGCGCGCTCAGGCGGGCCCCGGCTATTGGTCCCCGTGCGCGGTCGGCCAGCCCTGGCTGCCTCTGATTGGCAAGCGCACGCCACCTCCCCACTCTCCAAGCGACCGCCCGCAAGTCCAGAAACCGAGTGGTTATTGGCCAATCCAGAGAGGCCCGCTTTTCAGAAGCTTCAGTTCCCCAGATGAAAGGCAAGCGGCAACTCCGCCCCTTTCGCCCAAGCCCCGGGAGTGCTCCCTCCGATTGGCCGTGAACCGCCTCACCCCAAATATCGCCCCGCTCTTCCCAACAAGGCAACCAACGTATTGAGCAGCAAGGCATTTCGCAGCTTCGGCGACAAGATAAGAGAATGCGTCAGGAAGGCATGACTGGCGGCGGGAGCAAGCTGCTTCCCGCCAGACCTGTGGGACCTAGTGAGCGCATTAGGGGCGGAGCAAACCGGGATCGCTCGCGAGTTCGCAGCTGCGCAGAATCGCATTTCCGTCTCCGCCTCCGAGCCACTGCAGAGCCATCTGTCATGGCGGCGGCGCTCTTGGGATTGTGCGCTCGCCGCTGTTTGGCGGCCACAGCGACGCGAGGGCTCCCGGCTGTCCGCGTCCGCTGGGAATCCAGCGCCTCTAGGGGTGTGGTTGCTCCGCCCGCCATGGTGGGGAAACGGCCACCGGAACCGACGCTGCGCTGGCAGGAGGATCCGGACCCCGAGGACGAAAACCTCTATGAGAAGGTGAGAGGGCGGGGGGGGCGGGGGGACGGTGCGTCGGAAGGGTCAAATGGGGACGGGCAGACCCGGAGCTGTAGAGGACGTTCTTCAGTGGCTGAGTTGTTGCGTAGCCCACGCAAGCATGGAAGGTTTAGGAATTTTGCCCAGTTAATTTTCTGCTTTTGCCTGCTGATATCCTGGGTCCCAATCCAGAGGAACCTTATTTTGCAGACCTTGTTTGACAGGACTCAAACTTGAAACGGGCTCCGCTCAAAACACATTATGTGCAAGGTAGTATTAGTAGCTATAACGTCCATTTAAGCACGCTGATTTCATTTATGACATTTCCTCTAGGCCGAGAAGTGTCCTCTAACACTTTATATGCATCAGCTCATTTATTGCTCAAAGCAATCTTATTTTAAGGTAGGTGCTATTGTATACCCATTTTAGAGAGAAGGAAACTGAAGCACAGAGATGTACAGTAGCTTGCCTGGTTACAAAGTAAGTGGTGGCACTGGGTATTTGAACCTAGTTCTGCCAGGTCTGCTGTGTTGTATTAATAGCAGAGCCTCTGAAGTCTGCTAGCCTGGGTTAGAAACCAGGCCCTGGCAGTTACTCCCCTGTGTGACCTGGGGCAGTAGCTTAAACCCCCTTCCGTGCCGCTTTTGTTGTCTGTCAAATGAGTGTTAATTGCTTTTTATCACTTTCCACCTCCCCGAGATAGTGTGAGGATTGTATAGGTGAAAAGGCCTGGCATATAATAGATTCGTTATCAATACTACATACACTCTCGTTGAGGAGCTTTGATACATGGGATGTTCACTCATTTATTTATTCAAATGATGTGGTACAGAAGACCTGTGGGTGTTCTTAATATAATTTCAAATATCTGTGAATGCTAGAATGAAGTTTAAGTAGGATAAGAGAAAGGAAGTTGACTTAGAGGGGATTCTTTTATTAGGTGGAACCATAGGAACTTGCCAACATTCAGCCTTTTTTGACCTATGAAAATGGCAACTCTCTAAGCTTCAACTTAAGAGACAAGATACCATAGATGATTTAAAGCAGGGGTCCTCAAACTTTTTAAACAGGGGGCCAGTTCCCTGTCCCTCAGACCCGTTGGAGGGCCAGATTATAGTTTTAAAAAAACTGAACAAATTTCTATGCACACTGCACATATCTTATTTTGAAGTTTAAAAAAAAAAGGGCAAAAACACCTGGCAGGCCGGATAAATGTCCTGGGAGGGCCACTTGTGGCCCGCGGGCTGTAGTTTGAGGGGCCCTGATTTAAAGTGATGATTGAGTAAGCTGAAGCCAGCCTGACCAGATCTCAGGGAAAGGTTCCTGAGGGAGGGAACAGTGAAATGCAAAAGCTTTGTGGTGGGAAGGAGCTTGCTACATCCCAAGAAAAGAAAGAGGAAAGCAATGAGGGAGGATACGTGGATCTGATTAGAAACCGAGGTATACACAGGGCCAGCATGAGTAGCAGGAGGCCCTCAATGATACCACCTTCTCTTTGCCACAGAACCCAGACTTCCATGGTTATGATGAGGATCCTGTTGTGGACCTCTGGAACATGCGAGTCGTCTTCTTCTTTGGCGTCTCCATTGTCCTAGTCCTTGGCAGCACCTTTGTGGCTTACCTGCCTGATTACAGGTACATGGGCTATCTATCCAAGGGGGTGGGATAGGTGAGGGGTGGAAGTTGACCAGGATTCTGCTAGGAATCCTGCCCAGGCTGCCCTGGTGGGGAATGGGGGCTAGGTATCCAGTGAGATTTCCTCACATCTTTCCCCCTCTGCTGCTGCCTCCAGGATGCGTGAGTGGGCTCGCAGGGAAGCTGAGCGGCTTGTGAAGTACCGAGAGGCCAATGGCCTCCCCATCATGGAATCCAATTACTTCGACCCCAGCAAGATCCAGCTGCCAGAGGAAGAGGACTGATGGGTTGCCAAGGGGGGCTCAGGAATCCCCACCCTCCCCACCCCTCTGTCTGCCTTCCTGCCCATTCCTCAGAGCACCTAATTAAAGAGACCGAAAATCTGACTGGTGACTTGGTTTTGTTGGGGGGGTAAATTGAGGTGGGAGTGTCACAAGTTTTGTGGATATGCTCCCTATTGCTGTGTATCAAACCACCTTAATACTTAGTGGTTTAAAGCAACAACTGATTATTATCACTCGTCCTGTGGTTTGACTGGACTCAGCGAGGTGCCTTTCAGGTCAGATGGTGGCTGGGGCCAAGATGGCATCTTTACTCACCTGCCTGGCACATTAGTCTGCTTCCATGTGATCCGTGTCTCACAGAATAACCTGGGTTATCGGGGGTGTTTTTGGGTGGGGGCGTTCCGCATAGAGAAATTTATTGAGAATGTCCCAGGGTAGAGAAAGAGAGAGGCTCCCTAGCCAGCATGGCTGATTCTGGCACTTCTCTCTCTTCTGTGCAACAGGCTGTTTTTTAACATCCAAGTGTAAAAGATTGTAGGGAAATTTCCGTTAATGATGGGAAACTTCCCCTTTGAGAAATGTAGTTCCCAAAGATAGTTACGCAGACTCTGCACATGCTCCATCCGGATCTCTACCTTCGCACCCATGCTGTGCCACATTTCCCCCCTGAAAGATTTTATAAAGAAAATTCTTCATAGTACCACGGGTAGAGGTCACTTGGGTTTCTTACAAGAAGGCTCAGGGCTCCTCTGAATGGGGAAGTGGCACAAGGAAAAATTGATGGCAGGTATCTCTAGAGACAAGCTCTAACACACTGGGACTGCCTGTGTTTGAAGAACAGCCAGGGAGACCTGGCCTGGGGCTGCAGGGGTGGTACGGAGGTGGGCTTTTCTATTATTGAAAATGAGTTTGGGTGTTTGTCTTCCTCACCTTCTCTGGGTGTATTTGCCTTGTTTGTGGTGAGTCGATTTAGGACTTATGCCTCTGCTTGACTGCTACTTGAAAGGTCGGTGGATTTAATCCCTCAGAGGCACCTCAGAAGAAAGGCCTGGCAAACCAAGTCTCCCCCAATGCAACCCCCCCCAAAAAAACCAACAAAAACAAAAAAAACACTAAAGACTGGAGCACAATTGTATTTTGATACACATGGTAGTGCCACGAGCGTGTCTGTTTCTTCTACCCCCAAATCAGGGTGTTTTTTTACCTGAAGATAACTTTAAGGGGGGTGGGGGTAGTGTGTGTGTGTGTGTTTCTCTACCTTCCTGAGTTGTTTGCGAACAGCAAGGGTTTTTCTTCCCTCTTCCCTTTCTTTCTGGGATTAAGTAGTCTCCCTGCATCAAGGGTTTACTGAGACTCAATCTCAGTGGATCTGGCAGATTGGAGTAGAAGACTTCCTCTGGCTGTCTATTTCTTTCCAGGGACTCTCCTAGTTCCCTAAATCTGAGCTGCTGGGCTCCCTTCCTGTTACTGGTATTTCTGCCTTCTCCCATATTCAAATCCATACACCACATTACTGCCATCACTATGTGTGCCCTTACTTGGGGCTTCAGAGCGTAAGAGCCCCTAGTCACTGGTTGCTAGGAGAAAATCTGGCCTGATCCGCCCACCAGACCTCTAACTCTTGAGTCGTGGGAGGAGCCCTAGACTACTGGTATGTCGCTATGGTGGAAGCAGTATTCACATACACCTTCCTGTAAATCATCCCTAGGTGCTTCCTTGGGAGCAATCTTAAATTGAGGCAAGGCCCTAAAGCAGAGACTACTCATGTGTAAGGAAGCACTTTCCAACACCTGCATTTATTATGGAAATGAAAGAAGCGTATTATCTTAGCCATCAAGTACCTGAATATATTTCGGTCAAATGCCCCACCATTTCATGCGTAGAGAACATCTCTGTCAATGGCCTTCAGGCTTATAGCCGCTGAGAGTGAGCACAGCAGTTCTCCCAGGCTCTGCCTTCTCCCCTTGCTCTTGGGAGCTCCAGAAACCTCCCGTCAGGTCAAACAAGAGGCTGTACTTCAACTAAATACTAAAATCCACGCCTTTGTTCCCCCTGCCCCATTCTAACCACAATACCACCTTTCCCAGCCCAGCCACAATGGCCACTCCTCTCTCTCTTTAAATTTATTTATTTTAAATAAATAATTGTATTGGGGTCTCTTAAAGCTCTTATAACAATCCATACATCCATTGTATCAAGCACATTTGTACATATGTTGCCATCATTTCCAAAACATTTTCTTTCTATTTGAGCATTTGGTATCAGCTCCTCTCTTTTGCCCTCCCTCCTCCACCCTCTTACTCTCATGAACCCTTGATAATTTATAAATTATTTTAATTTTCATATTTTACACTATCCACTGTCTCCATTCACCTATGTTTATGTTGTTCATCCTCCGGAGCAGTGTGGTGGTGGGGGAGTTGTACGTCGATCACAGCGGTCGGTTCCCCCTTTCTCATCTCACCTTCTCCCTACACCCATGGTATCGCTATTCCCATTACTGTACCTGAGGGGTTTATCTGTCCTGAATTCCGTATGCCCAAAGCTCTTATCTCTACCAGTGTACATGCTCTAGTCTAGCCAGATTTGTAAGATAGAACTGATAGTGGGGGGGTCATGATAGTGGCAGGGAGGAAGCCTTCAAGAACTAGAGGGATGTTGTGTATTTCATCGGTGCTACACTGCACCCTGGCTGGCTCATCCCTTCTTTGTGACCCTTCTGTGAGGAGATGTCCAATTGTCTACAGATGGGCTTTGGGTCTCTATTCCGACTCCACCTCGTTCATATCGATAATGATTGTTTTGGGTCTTCAGATGCGTGATACCTGATCCTATCTACACCTTGTGATCACATGGGTTGGTGTGCTTCTTCCATGTAGGCTTTGTTGCTTCCCTACTAGATGGTTATTTAACTTCAAGCCTTTAAGACCCCGGGTGCTATAACTTGTAATAGCCAAGCACCATCAGCTTTCTTCACCATATTAGCTTATGCACCCATGTTGTCTTCAGCAATCGTGTAGGGAAGGTGAGCATCACAGAATGCCAGGTTATTAGAACTAAGTGTTCTTGCATTGAGGGAGGACTTGAGTCGAGGCCCAATATCTGTCTGCTAGTTTAATACTTAACATATAACTATATAGTACATAGACCTATATCCTTATCATTATATGTTAATATATTTACATATATACACACCTATATTTATACTTCTATAAATGTCATTTGCCTCCTAGTTCTTTTCTCTATTTCCTTTTACTTTACTCTGGTCCCGCTATCATATTTGACCTTCATTCGGGTCTCTATTTCCTCTTGACTACATTGCACTTGATATGTCTTCCTTGCCATCGAGTTTAGATCTCGTTGGTCCCTTGTCCCTAGGTTTGTTGACACACACCCCCCACCTCCTCCTCTCCTTGTCCCCCTGGAACCCTACATCCTGTTATTTTCTCCTTGGGATTGTTTATCTTGCCTATTTCATATAGATAGACATGAAGAGAAAAAAATAGCAACAAACAAAACAAAAAATCGCCTATGAATGTTTCCAGGTCTGTCTGCTGACCCTTATGAATGTTTTCCGATTTGGTCTGATGCAGTGCAAAGCCCTGCGCTCTGAGTCCGAAGTCTGTTTTCAGAATTCCTCCGCAACTTTGTTGCTTTGCTCCCCTTGCTTGCTCTGTTGCGCTCTCTTCCTGTTATGACTTGACGCCCTGGTGTGAGGGGGTCAGACGGGGCATAACTCCCATACTGTGTCTCAGGTGCTGCCCCTGTAGCGCTGTGGGTCCATCCGTAAGGGGATGTCGTGTCTTGTGGTGAGGCCGACCCTACAGTCCTCACTGTGCATTGGCTGCCTTGAGTGGGAATTTCATCCTCCAAGCTTGGTGGCCAGGATGCTGTTCTCTTTCTCTCTCTTTCCCTCTTAGTTTGCTCCCGTGCCTTCTGGGCAGGTATCCTCAGTGCTGCCCTCTGGAGCGCATTCTTCGGGGTGGGGATGGGGTGGAGGTGACTGGAATAGGGGTCAGCCCTGCCCTGCAGACCTCTCTGTTCGTTCACTGCTTCATGCTGCGATGTTGCCCTCAAGGCTTGGTGCACCAGGTTGAAGTCTGATCCCTCTCTCCCTTTCCTGTGGAGACAAACAGTACCCTCCCCGTGGGGGAAGGGATTAGTGCCCTTTTCCCCCCAATGCCTTGTCTTTCCCCCCTTTCTTTTTTTCTCTCCCTGCCCCCCCTCTCCCCCTTCTTTGTGTTGTTATGCTGTATGCATCATTGGGCTTGGGCTGTCCCCTGCCTGTGTGCCTCTCCCTCAACCCATAAAGTATGTGTTAAATAGTTTTTCCTCTGTTCCCACTGTGTTGATTGGACCTACCTCAGTGGACTCATGTTGTACTTGTCCTTTTGTGCTTGGCTAACTTCGCTTAGCATGATTTCCTCCAACTCTTCCCGTGAGACAATATGCTTCATGTATTTATCACTGTTTTTTAAGGACGCATAGTAAGGTACTTCATTATGTGTACGCGCCAGAGTTTTCTAATTCACTTACCTATCGATGGAAATGTAGGTTGTTTCCAGATCTTTACGATTGTTAATTGTGCTGCAATAAACATTGGAGCGCAGATGACTGGTTGTGGTCTATTTCTTCTGAGTATGTGCCCAGTAGGGGGCTTGCTGGGTCGTAAGGTAGCTCAATTTCCTAGAGATCACCAGATCGCTTTCCATAGTGGCTGTACGCATCTACAAGACCATCAGCAGTGGGTGAGAGTTCCTATCTGGACAGATCCCCTCCAACATTTGTTGGTCTCTGAATTTTTGAACTGGGTTATCCTCAGGGGTGTTAGGTGGTGTCTCATAGTTCTTTGAATTTGCATTTCTCTGATGGCTAATGATCGTGAACATTTTTTCATATACTAATTGGCCATTTGGGTTTCCTCCCTGGTGAAACTTCTGTTCAGGTCCTTTGCCCACCTCCTCAGAGGGTTCTTCGCTTTTTTCTTGTTGCAGGTTATTAGGATATTGTAGATTTTAGTAATAAGCCCTTTGATGTGTCATTGCTAAAGATCTTCTCCCAGTCTGTGGGTTCTCATGACTTTCTTGGTGAAGTCTTTTGAT